TCTTTCTGAGGCTTAAGGTTTGTCTTTGGTGGGCTATCTACAGGCGACTCTCTGGATGTGCCGAATACGTGATTCTTCGAATTTTCGTTTCTTGTTTAATTTTTTAAGTGTCTTTATAATTTTTTGCTTTTGGTTTAGATTTACGTAATAATAACTACTATGACATTTTCTTTCGTGCACCTTAACGAAGACATTCATTTTTTTTTTTGACATGTTTTTTTTTTCAATTTCGCTTCAACACAAGTCTCTCAAGGGTTCTGTTGTTGTGAGCCCGCCTGAACCAGGTTGTTGTATATTAACGAAGTTATCAATAACATCCTCGGTGGCCAGCCGACGTCTATACAGTCGTGTGTTGCGTTAGACATTGAGGCTCACGGGGACGTCAAACTATCCAAGTCTGCAGCCACTATAGCTAAGCCAATGTCCCCTCTGTTGATACCCACAAGCGCTGTTGGCGGTGAGGACGAAGTCGGGGAGGGACAACGTGTCACATTTCCGAAAAGGTCGAGGGACGACACTCCACTTGTCGCGATGCTGGCTTTGGACACACTAACTACAATTACGACGGAGCACAGGGATCGATCTGCAAATAAGTGGTGAATAATGTCACTCTTCTTTGTACATCCACGCTCTAGACCTCGAAAACGAGAGCTCAGGGCGTCTACTGTAGAAGTCCGGATTCCGAGGAACTTCCATCCACATTATCGACATACTTAGTTACAACAGTCCGCTCTAAAACAAGGAGTGGTTTGAACGTCCACTAATTTCGACAATGAGAAATTGCCCCTCAATGAGTTGACCATGTTTTTAGGGGGGGGGGGAGCAACCAGTTTTAAGAGAGTGGAAAAAAAAATAAAACAACAACCATAATTGAAAGAAATTTTCCGTGATGATGTTTCATTTTCATTTTTCTTTTTTATCAAAGCAGCGGTCTCCGCCCCCATCCCCAAACCATGACCGACTCACATGACAGGCAATTTCCTCCGGTCAAAATGGGCGGTGGTTTAAGTCTAGCGGGATCTACAATTCCTGAGTCCATTTGTACTACGGTCACTTTGCGTGTGCATGACGTAGATAGAAGTCCACAATACTTCAGCGACAACCGCCCGTCTGGCTTTTGAAGTTTTTTTTTCTTATCCTCTGTCTAGGACAAGAGGCTCAAGCTAGCATGCACTCTTCGTTTTATTGTCCGCTCACACACATGCGACTCGATGGTTAGAGCGATAGAGAGTCGACACTCAGTGTTCGTAGAGGTTCAGGTCTTACAGACTGAGTCTTTCTTATATGATACTTTTATTGCATCCGAGTTTAGAGATGTGTATTCATAGCTTGTTTTTTCTTCTGTTTTATAAGAAGAGGGTCATCTCGCACACGAAGGTCCTCGAAGCATCCAATAAACATGTTCAACTTGCAGAATGTCCCCAGGTTTACGATAAAAAGTAAGGATATGTTAAAGGCATTATGAGTCGATGTCGAAATCGGAAAGAGAGAGCATGCTTTAGCCATTGAGCAGCGTTTTTTCCTTCGGCCCACGGACAAGGGAACATATTCATGATCTGAAACTAGGGGTCAGACCATGTATCAAAATTATTTGGCAATATCTTGTACTACGCACGACATTCCTTAAAACCCCGTTTCTCATTGGCTGACATGTGCTTTGCTCGGTGATGTAGTGCGCATCAAAACGGGTTGAGCACGAGGGGGAAGCCTCACAACAACACTTGTACCTCATCGCTTGTGGGTTCTATAAGACATTATACACGGTTCGGTGCCGCCTTTCACAATTTTTTCTACCCTCTCCACGAATCATTTGTCTATTGTGGCAAAACATTTCATCACCTTTTTGCATATTGACGACAATTTTAATGATGAACTTGTAACTTTTTACATAGCGCTTTTGGGGTCGACCTCATGTGCAACACATAACACATCACCAGACCTTCCTGCCTTCAACTTTAATTCGTTCTTCTTCAATAAACTACAAGTTGAAGGATACAGTGAGGTACGAAGATGAATGAAAAAAATATATATACTTAATTATGATATTATCTTCGTGTCTGTCCATAATGATAATGGTCTTTGGAAGTTTGGTTCAACATTTTGTCAACTTAAAAGACAATCTCGTAGAAGTTTCTTATTCTTTTCATCGAGGTAAAACTCATAAGGATTTCACAATTAGTCTTTTTAGTTTGATTGTGCATTATCTGGAACAGGAAGCATTACACAGCGAGTCGCATAAGAACTTGGAAGTCTACAAAGACAAATGTTCTGATGAAAGAAGTTCCACGACAAGTGGATGGGGCGAGTCGCGGAGAGTTAATGTTGATGTTTGTAACGATGTTACAATTATGTCGTTATCGCACAACTTTCACATTTTGTCAAAGCGATATCCGACATAATAGACAACAATTGACAACCTGCATACTTTAAGCTCATTGTCTTTGATGCTGGTATAGCATTTTCGAACTTCATTTCGACACGTTATCACCCAACTTTCACATTCTCTCAGAGAGATATCCCGCATATTAGACAATAATTGACAACCTGCATAGTTGAAGCTCGTTGTCTTTGATGCTGGTATAGCATTTTCAAACTTCATTTTGACAGTGTTTTCTTTATTAACAAGTTATGATACATATTCAACAAATAAATGATCATGATGAAAAAACAACAATTGTTTTCTTGTATTCTTATGAGTTTGCATTCAGTGTGATAAGCATACTATCTTCTGTCGAAATGGGCCTTTATTTCCTAGGCATCCTTGACGTCCACCCGGTAACCTAGAAAAAAACGAACACCCCCCTGAACATGATACAAAGTAGATACCTAGCCCAAAGTCCTTGTTCTAGTATACTCTCAATGAGGGTTTTACGGCAGTGGTGTCAAGTCCACGAAAAAATAGAAAAAATAAAACATTGAAACTGAACTTAGGGCGGGAAAGCGAGTTCATACACACGACGAAGTTGTAGTGTGGGCATGCCTTCCTTCACAAAGTGTCTGCAACTCGTGGAGAACGCCTTGTCTCCCTGAATGGGCATGAAAACAAAACAAAAGAAACAAAACAAAAATAGTAGTAACGATAATATGAAATCGGTCACAATTGTAGTTAGACACTCTCTTTAGAGTATTGGTGTGAGCACAATATTGTGCACGACCCTCCTATATATTACCTTTTGTTTTTCTTTTTGCTTTTCGAAAGGGGCCCAAGAGGACTCACTGTCACATCTCCAACGACCCCCGAAAAGATTGAAAAAAGTGAAAAAACAACTTTTTCTTTCATTTTTTCCACCACATGTGGAGATAGTGGTGGTTTAAGCATGACAAATTAAATATTTTGTGCAAATTTCATCGACAATGTAGAAATTTTCAATCCAAGTGTTCACTTCATTATGCAAAAATCACTAAGTCTGTTATGCATACATCCATTCGTTGCTACGTGACTCGTACAATGCATAAAATGAACAACTTAAAGTTCCCATTCATATTTGGAACTATTAGGCGTGGCAAATTAACCAACTCGTACAACGCATAAAATCAACAACTTAAAGTTCGCATTCATATCTGGAACTATTAGGCGTGGCAAATTAATAAGTAAGTGCGGATTCCATCGATAATATTCAAAATTGCAAGTTCTTGTGTCATATGACTAAACTCCTAACAAAAGAAGAATGCATGTCAAAATCAACTCGCTATTACAAAATGAAAATGTTCTCGGTGATACCAAAACCCATTGTCCCTCAACATATGTCAAACTTTTCATATTGTCAATGAACATTTTATTCTTTGACAATTATAATTGTTCAGTACTTAAACCTAGGTCACCAGTCGTCCGATGGCCGGACGTCTCGGCCGGATGTCTCCCCTAATCGTCCGGTAGGGCGGTTATCCGGGATCCCGGACAACCACTTTTTGGCATTAAAAAAAAAAAAAAAAAAAAATGACAGTGTTGCGCATGCCATACAGACCCCCCATAAAAAAATTCAGAATTTTCTGAGCATTTGGTGATAGCGGGCTATTTGGGGTGGGAGAGGGGGGTACGAGGGGTTTTGGTGGGGATAAGAGAGGTATAGGTGGAGAAGTGGGAGCTTCACGCCAGCCGGAGTCAGTGGTCGGAGGAAGAGATTATAGAGAACTTCCTATTTAATGTGGACCCAAGTCTCGGTAGGGAAGTTAAGGAAGCTCGACCGAAGGATGGAAAATGGACTACTTACAAGAAGAACCTCGTTGARCTTTACAAATTGGAGGAYAACAAGTATTCCAYCAAGGACCTTGAAACAATGACTCAAGATGAAGATGAGAGCGTACGGGCATTTGGGATGCGTTTCCAGAAGATCTCCGACGTGCTGATGAAGAAGGGGAAGATCTCAGAGGTCGAGCGCTGTACTATCTTCATCGGACACTTGTCCAAAGGCAGGCAGAAGAGTATACTAAGAGATCTTCCGCATGACAGACTTGATTTCCCACAAATCCTAAAGCTCGCGATAAAGGCAGAGGCAAACGATTACAAGGACTTGGTGTGGAGAGGGATGAGGAGACGTGACTTCTCTCTCTACAAGGAGTATGCCACGAATAGATGTCCTGATTTCAAGGACTATCCCTGGTCGGAGAAGAATGAGGCCGTGGCTGAGGAAGTGAAGGAGATACGGGACATGGTGAAGGGATTGACGAGACAGGTTACAGAGATTGTGTCCACTACAGGGGCCACGGCCTACCGGGACAAACCTGGAGGGCCCTATTCACTTCGCTGGGACCGTAGGAACAACGATTCTTGGAGGAGTGTCGAGGATAAAAATCCTCGGACGCTGACTGATTATCGTACGAGGGGAAGAGAGAGAGACGATGAAACATAGCGACGTAGGGATGATGAGATAGACCGAGACCGCAGAGATCGCGAGCCGTTTGCGCGAGCAAGGAGGCTGGATGATTACCCTCGAAGCCCTCGCTATGAGGCCGATCGGGGTAGAGGCGACTCCCGCGGCCGATGGGAGATAGATCAGAGCCGACGAGATGGATATAGGGACGACAGATACGAGAGATCGGACCGAGATGGATATAGGGACGACAGATACGAGAGATCGGACCGAGACGGATATAGGGACGACCGATACGAGAGGTCGGGTCGAGATGGCTACAGAGGTGGTAGGTATGAAAGAGGAGATCGAGACTGGGAACGACGAGATGGGTCGCGCGGCCGCTGGGAACGTCTCATCAGAACCATATCCCAAGTCACCTGACCCCAAGGCAGCCAGGAGTTCGATCTCTAGAAGTGCAGACGACAGACCATCTACTCCCAGGAACTCATGCGTCTACTGTAGAGGAGAAGATCATATCAAGAGGGATTGCCCGGACCTCAAACGGGCAATAGATGAGGGACCTGTTGTGCTTGACGACCTCAAGTACGTCAAGTGGGCAGATGATCTGGGAGATGTATCGATGTTCCCTTCGATGAAGGAGAATGTCAAAGCAAGGAGAGTAAAACCGAGTAAGGGAATGGAGCCGGTGAGGAGCCAGAGCATCAAGATAACCTTTAAGGAGGATATCGTCACCACACCCATAAGGGTGGCAGCCACCAAGTCGGCGAGAGGGTCTACATCGAAGAAGACTGACACGGATTACGTGATGGCGGAGAAGGACGGGCAGCGGGTCGATGGAGAGGAGGTTATCCTTTCRCCGYGRAAGCGGGGAGTGAAGAAGTTCTTAATGAAGAGTTCGCTGGACGAGATTGACACGGTCGAGCCACTTAGGCGGGCCCTTGGCAGCCCATGTAGTGCTCTATTCTGGAGTACCTGGCGGCATCGAAGCTGACTCGTGATGAGTTACAGATGATCACGCAGAAGACTCGCATACCCCTATCGGAGGAGGGTCAGGGGGCCCCTAAGGCGGAAGCTTCTACAGTAGCAGTAACGAAAGTGACTGCCAGAGCGGATCGCGTGGCGACAGTCCTTCTCGATGGAATGGAAGGTGTGCCTCCAGACAAGTTTTATATTCTTGGTAGCGGGGCCGTGGAGACGATTATAAACGATGGAGCGGTACTCGATGCTGTGATCGACAACGGCAGTGAGGCTGTCATCATAGACGAGGACCTGGCAGTACAAGTTGGACCGGGCCTCGGCAGGTCGTACCTATTCGAGATAGAGACGGTTGATGGGAGAAAGCAACAGATCACTGGAGTTTGTCACAAGGCAACCATAGAGGTCCAAGGGGTACGAGTGACCCTGCCTGTTTTTGCAGTCAAGAACTGCAGCTCCGACCTGCTCTCGGGTGGAACATGGCTGAGCCACGTGCATGCGGTGAGGATAGAGCGACCTGATGGGAGCCAAACATTGTGCATTAAGAAGCCAGACGGGACGCGAGTAATGATTGAGACAGTGGAGCCTCGGGACCCGAGGAACAGAGCAGCTCTCGCTGTGGGTGCGAGACCCAGTGATCTGATTTTTGCCTATCTCCGGCCGCGCGGTACGATTTCGCGAGAAGAAATATGGACCACTGCTCACAGAGGAAAAAGGTCGGATCGTGGAGGTGGAAGATTTAGGGAGTCGGCTAATAGTGGACGGCAACTCGTACCCAAAGGAAAAAGATGAGGAATTTGGCGGTGTGGTATCCGTGTCTTTTTTAAGGGCACGGCCCCCTATTGGGGGCTACCTAAGCGACACAAGGGATTAGCTCAAAAAGTTAAGCCAGTGGCGGTGGGCTACGAGCGATCTGCACAGGAAGGGATATCAGAAGAAGAGATCGTGAAAGAAATCAAAGAAATAAAGAGAAACGAGACGCAACGCCTAACGGAAGAGAGGATAGAAGGGATGGACATCGGAGATGGGAATTTGAACCCTCAGGAGGTTCTTCCTACGAAAGCCGAATGGCAAGATCCGATGGATCTAGGACCTTCAAAAGGTTAACGCGGTGACGATACGAGACGTGGGCTCCGTACCACACGCCGATTTACTGGCAGAAGGCGCCGCAGGTAGGTCGATTTATTCGGTCTGTGATCTGTTCTCAGGCTATGATGAGGTGCCACTTGACCCTAGAGACAGACACGTCACAGCTATGCATACGCCATTCGGACTAATACAGATGATGGTTGTCCCTATGGGATGGACTAATGGGGTAGCTGTTTTTCAGAGAGCCATGGTAGCCGTCCTTAAGGACTTCATCCCTGATAAGGTTGAAGTTTTTCTGGATGACTTTCCTATAAAAGGGCCAGTAAACAAGGATGAGGCAGAGGTTCTACCGGGAGTTAGAAGATTCGTCGAGCAGCACCTAATGGATATTAGCGTGGTACTCGAGCAGCTTTGGACGATGCGAATCTAAGAGTCAGAGGAACAAAGAGTCGATGGGCCGTCTCGACTATTAAGATCTTGGGCTTTATCTGTGTCTCTAGGGGACGCTGAGCAGATCCGGCAAAGTTAGACAAACTCCTGAACTGGCCGTCACCATTACATAGTCCAACCGAGGTCCGACAGTTTCTGGGAGTGGTCGGTTACAGGCGAATATTCATAAGAGGGTATGTAGAGAAGGCTAAGTCATTGAGACTACTCCTTCGAAAAACGGAGAAATTCTACTGGGATTCCTCGCAGGAACTCGCTGTGCAAGAGCTGAAAGATGAATTTAAGGAGGGAGGACGCGTACTGGGCGTGCCGTACTTTGATGATGAGGCTGGGAGACCCTTTATAGTAGCCACGGATGCTGGGCCTTGTTCGGTAGGAGGGTTGCTGTCGCAGAAGGACGCTGTAGGGAAAGAAAAACCATTAAGATTTGAGAGTAGGACACTTAATACGGCGGAGCGAAACTATAGTCAATTCAAGAAGGAAGTATTAGCTGTTCTACGGTGTCTAGACACGTTCAGACATTATATCTATGGACGACGGTTCATCTTGTGAGTAGATCCCACCACGGTTGCCTCTGTCCTCCAGAAGGATTTTAGCCTGACAGACCCGACCATTGCACGATGGTTAATACAGATTCGACTATATGATTACACAGTTGAGAGGATATCTGACACTAAAAATGCCGTGGCAGTTGGACTTCCGCGCATCCCTCTTGAGGCCGAGCGCCCGATAGTAGCCGGGGCCCTGACTATGGCAGAGCCAGGACGCACCGAGCGATTTCTGGTTAACCTTTACGAGGGCAAATACCGAATGATCGGGTTACATTTGTCAGGAAAGGAGAGTCAAGAATCAGATATCCGGAGACAAGCGGCCCAATAGTGCCTTAGAGCTGGCCATCTGTTTCGGAGGCCGGGCGGCTCGGGGATGCCCTTACGAGTAGTCTGTAACACTGAGGAGAGACAGACAATAGTTGCGGAGCTTCACGACGGGGTAGTTGGAGGACACAGGGAAGTCAAAGGAATCTACAAAAAGGTACGCAGGTTGTACTGGTGGGAAGGAGAGTATAAGGACGTCGAGAGGTACTGTATGACCTGCGAAGAATGCCAAAAGGGAGCTCTTGTGAAATACAAAGAGCCACTTCATCCATCCTATCCAAATAGACTAGGAGAGAAGGTACACATCGATCTGGTGAAGATGCCGAAAGGGGTCGGCAATATGAACTATGTCGTGAACATACGAGACGACTTCACGGGGTTTGTGGACGGTAGGCCTATCAGGAGTAAGACGGCAAAGGAAGTGAAGAACTTCGTCCTAGAGTACTTATCTAGGTATGGTTGTGTCAGTAAGATAGTGATGGACAGAAAGGCAAAATTCCTAGCTGACGAGGTTCAGAGTGTGTTCAAGAGAGCTGGGGCGAGAGTTTCGATAGCTACTGCCTACCACCCGCAATCGAACTCCCCAGTAGAGAGAGGGCACCGGACCCTGATAGCGTCGCTATCCAAGTGGTGCGGAGGTAAGGACAGTGATTGACCACGATATTTTCGATTCGCAATTTGGGCGCACAATGTCACGGTCCGGACTAGCACGGGATACCCTCCATACACCTTATGGTTTGGGCGACATTGTTCGCTTCCCATAGAGTTTCATGTCGACAGCTGGACAACCGTCGACTGGGCCGGAGGAGATGTCCAGAGAGGAACTCTTAGCTGTCTGAACAAGACAGATAGCCTACGGTTTGGAAGATAACCTCATGACAGCGGCAGATCGTCTGGCAGTGGAAAGGGACAAGGGTAAAGATAGATGGGATAAGAACGTGCGGATCAGGAAGGAGAGGGTGAGTGTAGGAGATATGATCCTTCTCTACGATGCAGCGCTCGAAAGAACCTGGACTGGAAAACTCGCCAACAGATGGATGAGACCTTACAGAGTGGTTAAGGCACTCGACTGGGGTGCATATATGATAGCAGAATTAGACGGATTCAAGTGGAAGGACCCAATGGCGGGTGCTTGGTTAAAGTTGTTTAGGCCCAGGCCCGCGCCCGCCTTATCACTGACCAGCCCGAAAGGCAAAGAAAAAGCCATAATGGAGGATGGAGCCCCCTTGAGGCGATTCGAGGCAGGGGAGAGTTCCAAGAAAAGGAAAAGAATAGAGAAGAGAAAGGTCAAAGGGTTAGCTTTAGGAAGAGAGAGGAGATGGTTATTCGAGCTCAAGCGAGCTAGACGGAAAGTTCGCATTAGACGTACTGGCGGGTCGGTGTCAGGCGGCCACAAGCAGTGCGCCGCCTGAGATTTGCAGTTTTGGGACTTAGGCTCAGGGACAAATCCGTGTTTTGATGGTAGTCTCGTATGACCAGGCAACAAAAATTAGGGGAACTCAGGGCACTCCTGATTTTGGGCGCACTGAGCCTTATGAGTAACCCTCAAAGATGGGGAGATGGGTGGCCGCACTCGGCATGTCTAGGGACTGACATTTTCGACCGTTTAGAGGGTTAGACCCGAATTGGCCTGCCGCGGAGAGGCATCAAGGGAGTTGACCTCGCCGCAACGTTTTTGCAGCATACGACCGGGGCGAAATGGGGCCTCAAATTTTTGTC